TCGGCGGAGCCCGGCGGGCGCTGCCTGCCTCGCGCTCGCTCACCGCTTCTCTCTGCAACGTCACTTCTTTCTTGAGCTGCTCCACTTCCATCTTCAGCTTGTCCTTCTCGGTCAGATCCTCGATGTTGATCACGGGCATCTTCCCGCTGCGGGCGGGCGGGGGACAGCGTTACCCGAGGGGAGCCGGCGGGTCCCGGTGCCCCCTCCCCGCCCCGCGTCCCGGGGCCCGGACTTACTGTGCTCCGCCGAGCTGTCCCGGGCCCCTCAAGTGGCAACTCCCTCCGCACCCAGCTGCCTCCGGCCCCTTCCCCCGGCCGCGCCCGCTCCTGGCCTCGGCGCCCGCGGGGTTTTAAACCAGCAGCATAATCGCTCCTAAGATGCTTAGACCAAGCGGTTTGACCCCCACCTTGCTGCCTCCCGGGGCATTTACCTTGCCCGCGTGTGCGCGCTCGGCCAGCTCTACATTGCCCTCCCTTCACACCATCCCCGCCTCAGCCCCTCCACGCCCCGGCTGGAGTGGTGCAGCCAGGCAGCCGCTCTTCTGTGTGACCCCGGCAGCAATGGGGGGCTAGGGTGGGCGCCAGGGGTTAATCCACTGAAACCCCCGTGTCCCTAAACTAGTGTGAGCAGGGCGTTAGACCGCTCTGAGCCGTGTCCGCAGGGCGAGGCACGGTCAACGGGCAAGAGGAAGCCGCCTGGAGGAAGCTGCCTGGGAAAGGATGTGTGTCCAGTCATGTTCTCACTCTCGCTCATCTCTTGAAAGGAAACAGGCCTGCTAAGGAAATGGCCGGCCTTTTCCTACGCGGCCACACACCACAACCAAGGCCGCAGAGGAAGTCTGCAGGGAGAAAGGAAGAGGAATATACTCTTCATAGCCCCAGCTGTGAACCGGAAGGCTCTTCAGGTTCCGAATGCTCTCTGCTTTGTCTTTTTCTATTCCAAGAACAAATCTCTTCTTTCCATTCTCTCTCTCTTTCGTATGACATTTTAGGATTACAACATTCATACAACGTCATAGATTAATACCTCAGTTTGATAGCCATTCGACTGCTTCAGGGGTAGCTGCATGGATTGATTTTAGATCACCATTAAATGATCTAATTGGACAGTCGTCCACAGTCACAACCCAGACTCTTTTTGAATCTCCATTTATGGAGCAGGTGTCCATATTTTCCATGAAGTGTCTTCTTTCCATTCAGTTAACAACATCTGTAAAAGCCCAGAATACGTGATTCATCTGACAACACTTTCCCTGGAGTCACTGCCTTGGTAATGGCACAGCCCTCAATCATGCCAGGTGGTATAGGAAGCTCCATGGAAGAGCCCTATGGTTTATCCTGATAATGAAGTCTAGTAAAGGGTTGTAAATCCAGCCTTCCTGTTCTGCTGTTTTCTTCTGTCCTTTGTTTCCCCCCTAAATGGCTTCTTTCCTATTTTTATTACATGAGGACCTAGGAGTCCTAAGCGTAGACGAGGAGCTAATTGTGCTAGGCACTGTACTCAAATAGTTCATAATACCTGGCATTAAAATGTACTGTAAATGCATAACATAATCAAGATCAGAAGCATCCTGCATTAATAAATGATTTCCAGGGCCAATTTTGCATTAAGTTGCCTTATCATTTGTGCCAGACATTGGGAGCACCAGAGGGAGCGGCCTGCTGAGGGTGGATATAGCCATTTTTTCCTGCATCAGTGGCAGTTTTGAGTGTGGTGGCCAGCTAACCTAGCCTTGTCCAAATCAGGATAGATTGGACCAGAACAGATAACTGGGTAACTACTAATGCTTGAGGCATGATTGGTTCATATATAATAGGAATATGGCGCACGCTGCTTGAGGAGTGCTCATTCATATACAATAGGCATAATCTATTCCGGGTCTGCCAGAAAAACTGAGTGCATCCATATCCAAAGTTCGCCTTTGGTAGCAGAGCCCTCCTTTCTGCTGATAAGCAAAGTGAGGCTTCTGCCATCATCTGACAGCAGACAGGATGTATCTTTGCTGCTAGAGGTCCCTTCAGCAGCTAGCAACATCCCCAGGGACATTTCTCACCCTGGTGGCACTGCTGCTAAGTGTAGCCCCACAGTGCACACGTTCTGGCAGCTTAACGTTAGCGGCTGTACTTTCACAGCCTTCTGTTAGCATCTTTGTGCCACCTTTCATGCAGCCCTTTATGCCTGGCATATTTTATATGAGATTATCCAAGATTATATATAATATTCTTGATTTATTTTGTGGATGGCTGGGAAGCTGCAAGCCCTGGTGCGGGCAGACTGGGCCCGGTGTGCCGGCTGCAGCTGGGAGGCTGCAAACAGCTGCTCCAAGCTCCAGCATGATAGCACATGGGCACTTTCCAAGGTAGACATTGTAGTTTTTTCGGCACTCCGGCCAAAAAACGTTGCCTACCCCTGCTCTAAACTATTGCAGACAAAGTTCTTTGGGTGAATCTGATATCTTTTATTAGACCAACTTAAATAGCTGGAGAACAATTTTTAGGCAAGCTTTTGGGTTTTGAACCTGAAAGCTTCAACAGAAGAATTGCTCTAATAGTTTTCTGTAATAAAAAATCAAGTGAAATCTAAGAGCTGGCACTTTCCGAGGGGTGTCTTGAGTCTAAAAAGGTTCAGAACCAGAGATTTATTGAATAACTCTTTAGCTATCTCCTCTTCACATGTATGCCAAATATAAGCCCTACTCAGGAAATCTAGTTTTTGCTACTTGCTGTGTCAAAATGACTCCAGCAAAATCAAATCCTGTTCAACTTAATCACAAGAAAGCTCTGTTGGCTTCAGTGCAATAACATTCAAGTAAACCAGATTCCACCTCACAGAACCCTATAGTGTTTGCTATAGTGAGTCTATTATTTTCTTTCCTTTCTTTTACAAACACTTCCACATATTGACTAATATCTTGTTGCCTCGCTGAAGTTAAGGAAGAAGCAACTGAGTTAATACTTCATTGTACTGAAAGATGATAGACAGGTTTAATTTAAACATTGGTTTGTACATGCATGCTGGTGAAAATAAAAGTTGATACTTGTATGATGACCTTTGTTTTACTGTTTTTGCTAGAAATGGCATTTGAATGGTTTATTTTCCATTCCAACAAAATCAGATGGATTCTAAAGAACATTTACATCACTTGAGAGTTTGTTAATATTGGAAACATGACATTTTGACTTTGCAAGAAATACAAAATATGGTTTTGCACTTGCGGGATCCAGACTTTATTACATTTGATATTGCTAATAAGCCCAACTTGAAAAAAACAAACCAAAAAAACAGGACATCTGTTATTAACAGTCACAATAATAAGATTACAAACATGACAGATGTGTCCTTGTGGTAATGGCATGGATTGTAGTTCAGTACTTTGATCAACTCACTGAACAGGTCCTTTTTTCTATAGCAATTTGAGATATATCTTTAAAAAAAAGAAAGAAAGCATGGAACAGGAAGAAAGTCTCCGGTGAGACGTTACTGATATTCTCTCAGAAGCCCGGTGCTTTGAGGAGCTCTAAATTGGCTTCTTTTACTTTGTTAACTCTCTTTTTCTATTTTTTCGGAAAGTGTCTTGTAAGAGCTGTAAAGTCTGTATCTACCACTGCAGGAAAGTCGATTCCTGAATTCTAGTGATTTGTGTCAATTACATATTCTTTCTAAAAGATACAGGTGTACACCCCACTTCACAGCTCAGCGTGCCCTAAGGACGATGCTGAGATGTCACTGATGGAGGGGCTTCTCCAAGTTCTCCTTTTTACTAAGAAATGAAAACTCTAGAACTCTTGGTTCAGAGATGACACCTTTTATTAGACCCACTAAGAAACTGCAAAAAAGCCGGGGAAGTGCCGGCTCCGCGGCAGAGGGGCGGGGAGGTGCCGGGTAGGACACGGAGGGGCCC